CGAAAATTATCGAATCCCTTAGCGTAGGAAATTCGAAAGTTCGAAAGGCTTCGAATTTGTAAGTGCAAGAAGTTCGAAAGTTCGAAAATCATCGAATTTTTGGTATATCAAGTTCGAAAGTTCGACAAGCATCGAATTTTGCAGCGCAATAAGTTCGAAAGTTCGAAAAAGATCGAATTTTTTAGCGTCATAAGTTCGACGGTTCGAAAAGCGTCGAACTTCTTTGTTTAACAAGTTCGAAAATTCGACTTCCATCAAATTTTAAATATAGAAAGTTCGAAAAATCGAAATCTTTCGAACCTTTCGAACTGCTTGATTCGATAGTCGAAACTTCGATTTGAAGAAAGTTCGCGGCATCCCTAGTATTACAGAGGCTAGAAAGGGTTTCCTAGTGTCCCGAGCGTACGCTCTTTCAAGCGGCCACGGAGAAACCGGTTTGGATGACGCGCGCAGGTGGCGCTGCGTCCAGCAGGCGCGCTTGTGGGCGCGCTGTTCTCCCCGTAGGCGGCCCGGGCGAAAATGGCGGAAGCAGATGTTTCCGTGTGACAGAACCGAGCCGTCCGAGGGTCTTCCTTTGTTGTTTGTGCGGATCTGTGGATTACATCGCGGTGCACAACGAGAGACCAACGGTGTGTCATGCGTCAGTGTGTTGGATGTATCTGATCATGCCGGCGAAGAAAGGTAGGACCTGCTTCGTGCCGTTGTGCAAAGGCGGCTACAAATCGGCTGCAGAAAAAGTATCGTTGTTCCGGGCTCCAGTCGACCCCCTTCGTCGGCAAGAATGGGCGAGGAACATCAAGCGAGAAGACAAAGTTCTCGACGAAACCTGTGTCGTGTGTTCCCGTCACTTTGATGAACGCTACATAGAAAAAACTTTCAAGCACGTCATCAATGGCGAGCTCGTCGAGCTGGACCGCGAACGGCCAGTGCTCACCGACGACGCCGTCCCTACGATATTCCCCGACGCCCCCTCGTATCTGACAAGGCCTGTCCCCAAAAAGAGGAAAGAAAGGAACCTCGCTGACCGTGGTACCCCACCAGTGAAACGCAGGGCTGCAAGCGGATCCACGCATGACTGTGATCCTGGAAATGCCTGTACAGAACCAGCGCCGGAGACGCACCCGTTCAGCGACATTCTGCCACCCTCGATGTATTGCAGCAGAATCATTTTATCGAACGATCCAACGGCATTGTGCTTTGGATGGCACGCCAGGATGGAATCAGACGATGTGCGTGTCATAAAGCACGTTACGTTCTCGGCATGTGCCGAAGCCACCGCTGCACAGGGGAGCGCATACCTTTGCGCCATATATTGCCGAGGCATCAAAGTCGAAGAAATTTGTGTAAGTAGACGAGATGACGCCCTTGGGGCATTGAAAAAGGCCGAGCAATTGCTTCTTTGCCCAGGCTGTGAAATTGAGCCAGTGGCAGCTGGTCAATGTGTCCAGTTTGGTTCCATGCACTTCGCAAAAAACTGCTGTGTGACAACACCTGACGGGAGAGCTTGTTTACGATGCAAATACACAAAAAAGCTCATCCAAAACCAGACGTACAGGCTCAAGAAGAAACGTCGAACAACATTTCAGCAACGGATTGCCAGGAAGTCCCTTCAGCTGTTCCGGGCGAAAAAAAGGCTAGAAAAAGCCCAAGAAAGTGTTGCAAAGCTTCGAACAGTCACAGAAACAATTTCCAGCTCAGTTTTGGAGGAGAAAATCAGGAGCCTCCCACCAAAGCAGCGTCTTGCTGTAAGAACCTGTTTTGAGGCGGCATCCAGAAAATCAAGCCGAGGCATGGCGTACGACATGCAGTGGGTCCTGGAGTGCATTTTGATGCGCATGAGAAGCCCCCAACTCTACGAGTATGTTAGAAGACACAAGATTCTTGCCTTGCCGAGCAAATCATGCCTGGACAAACACATGCAGGGATTTAAAAGCATGTTTGGTTTCAACACTAGTGTGTTTTCAGCTTTGGAAAAGAAAACACGAGACATGGACGAGTTCAGCCGCCATGGTGGTCTTGTGTATGACGAGATTAAGCTCTCCGAGAACATCAATGTGACGGCATCTGGCGAACTGAGTGGCTTCGTTGACCTCGGTCCTTTCATGGAGGATAGCAACGAGACAGCACTGAGTGACCACGGCCTCGTCGTAGTATTTCAACCCTTTAAAGGGGCGGTGCAATGATTTTAACACTGAACGAATGTGCAGCTTGCATTTTTTATATTGTTTACTTCGGCATAAGTAAGAGAAAAAGTGCCATCATACCCCAAAATACCTCTATTTCGCTGCGTAATCGTAAAATAAAAAACGCTTTTTTTCCCAACCTGCGGCCACATGGTGGCCGCAAATGGAACTTCTGGTGTGACGTCATTCGGAGTGTTTTTTGTAAGTGATAGTGTTAGGCAATCGTAAGCTTGATTTAAGGTTAAGTTTAAAAAATATTGTTGTTTAGGCATGCAGAAACGCTTCAAAAGCGTAATATTGCCGCTAAAAGGGTATGAATTATTTGTGGCGCCATCTACCGCAAGTCAACAAAACCTGCCGTCGCCGTCATCCGTCGACGCCCGAGGCGCCTACGGCGGTTACACGAGCAACCCGGACGTTTTGTCTTTCCCTCGCTCGACGGAGTCCGTTGGTCGTGGTCCGTAGTATCGTGGTATCGTTATTGTACCTGGTGTCTCGACTTCGACTTCGACTGCCCGCCGCGTCGCAAGCATCTTGCGCTCGACGTCGCTCAGGCCGTCCGCCCATGCCGCCATGTTGGTCGGGAATCGGCGGGAGAGCGGCGAGCCGGGCGAGCCGGCGAGCGCTGGGGAAACGGAAGCCAGAAGAACCCAACCGGAAACCAACGCCACTCCGAATGACGTCACAGGCGAAGCTGGTGCCGCTTCAATGTTGAGTTGAGGGGTGCCAGAGATACCAATTTCTTTTATTTTTTTTAATGAAAACTAGGGCAAGCAGGAAAGAATAGTTTTCGGTCCTTCGTTTTATATGTGGCCGGGATCAATTCCCGCAATTAATTAGCCAAAGTCCGCAAATTGTTGCACCGCCCCTTTAAAGGCAAGTTAATTTAAATAAGTATGTCGTGACGGCAATACAATTGTACGTCTTTTTTGGTTGTTGTACATCCTAGAGCCTAGTCCACCTAGTGAAGTTTGTGATGTCATTTACAACATATTTACTTCAGTGATGCCTAAGCCGTGATTTACATTTTTATATTTCTCACAGTGAAACATCTTATTTTTGCAGGAAAGTGGACACAAATCCTCGGAGTCTTTGCTTCCAGAGGCAATGTAAAGGCGCCTGTCCTCTCGAAGATTCTCCTGGAGGCTACGATACTGGCTGAAAATTCCGGCCTCTTCGTCGATTTCTGGACAAGTGATGGTGCTCCCTGGAATCGCTGTCTCTGGAAGCTGCTCGGCATCAAAGGTGGATAATTTCCGTCCCAGAATCACAGTGAAAGGCTTTTCTTGCTTATCTCCTGTTATTCACAGATATTCCTTACTTGTGCAGTTTCGTCTAAGGAAATCACCTGCAAGGTTCCCCATCCTGTCGACACAGCAAGGAGCCTACACTTCATCTCTGATTTTCCTCATCTGATCAAATGCGTGCGGAATACTTTTGTCTCAAAAGGCGTACAGATTCCATGTGGTCATGCTCATGTTGATGTCATCAAAGAGGCATGGAAAAGGGACAAGGAAGCATTGACACTGAAAGTGATGCCACACATAACACAGGCACATGTACAACCGAACGCGTTTGAAAAAATGCGTGTGAATTTGGCTTTTCAACTGTTCAGTCAAGAGGTGTTGAAAGGGCTTTTCTTTTATAAAGGTGACTTGGAAAGAAGGTTCAGAACAACGGAGCCAACAGAGCAGTTTGTGAAGCTGATGGAGATGTTGATTTTCGTGATGTCATCCAGGGTCCCGTCTAAGGGCCTTCGAGCCCAGTCAGGAAGTGCCCAGTTTTTGAAAAAGTTCATTGCCTTCTTAAGTGAATGGGAAGAGTACGCTGCCCAACACGGTGGTGGATTCCTAAGCGCAAGGACTGCCCTTGGACTCCGTGTGACTCTACAGAGCACACTGTCACTTCTGGACTATCTGATTACCTCAGTGCACTACAAGTACTTGTTGACTGCAAACCTTAGTCAAGATAAACTAGAAAACATCTTTGGGATTGTGCGACAATCCTTTGGATGTAATGACCACCCCTCCCCTGAGCAGTTTTTGGTCATTATTAACAACCTAACTTTCTACAGCCTTGCAAGACCACCAAAGAATGGAAACTCGCCAGCTGAGCTTGTAACTGCACTTTTGCAGCCATCTGATGCTGGAAAAGAAAAGGCTGCTCGTGTAACGGCACTCGTTGATGAACTGTTGGACGAGGGAAGTCTGACTCATGCCGCAGTTGTGCTAAAAGAGCACAGTAGCCTGATTGACCACCACGTCTGTGTCGAGAAAAGAAGTGACAGTCGGCTGATATATTACGTAGCGGGTTACGTTGTCCGCAGGTCCCTCAAAAAATTCCCGTGCCCAGAATGTGCATCTTGCTTGAGTGTCCTGCCCCTGCAGGCTGAGTGCAATGGCAACGCCTCATTGACGAGAGAATTCGATCATGGGGGTTTGCTGTACCCTTCGAAACCACTGGAGGCACTGGTAACCAGACTGGAAAACGCCTTCACTGTTTTCTTTACCAGAAACAAGCTCCATGCTAAGAGCATGATCTGTTTCCTGCGCTTCCTTCAGGCGCATGCACTGCAGGAAGTTGGCTGCAGTGAGCATGGGCGCTTGGTCACAGCAAATGTCATCAAATTCTATGCTCTGACCAGGATGCATTTCTTTGCTAAGGCTGTTAACAAGGATCGAGATTCCCAAAGGGAGAAGCAAAAATTGCTCAAAATGAGGCGATGCCGGTGAGGACCGGACTGCGGTACTGGAGAGGCAGAGCACACCAAATAAATTTTTCGTGAACAAAGACCTGGAATAGACATTTAGCTTTGTGATGTTTTTTGTGGATAATTCGCAAGTTTGTATGCTCTTTTCCTTTGCTTGCGCGAATATACCTTTAATTCGTTTCCCGAGCAATGAGATGAAGGGGTTGTTTGTTACGTGCGCTGCGCTTGCTGGCGTCTGCAACGGTCGATTAGTAAAATAAAAATAAATGTCATGTTGCACACACTCTCGTCATCATCTCATTTTAGCGATTTACTTCCAACCTTTCTTACATAAAAGGCGAGCGCGTGCAGCAGATGAAACTACACTCAAAGCTTCTCTATTGACCGTACCGCTCCGCGCGGTCTGTCTCAAGCGCGCTGCGGAGAACGCCCGCCGAAGCAGAGAGGTTTTGCAAGACTCGTAGAGAAGTGGTCTTTATATATATATATATATATATATATGCGTGCGTGAAGATTAAACGATAGCGAGCGCTACAACAGCCACACATTTACATCCGGAGACGCGTCTCCCGTTGAAAATCGCGCGCCTACCGCCAAGCGACAGCGCGCCTGCAGGCAGCAGCGCCACCTGCCCGCGTCATCGCAAAATATTGCCGCTCCTCGGTCGCGTTGACGACACTAGGAAACCCTTTCTAGCCTCTGTACTAGTATTGTTATCGGAACGCGGGAAGCAATCTGAAACTCCATGCGCCGCACTTTTGCACATGCCCGCGCGATGGCTCCGCCGGACCGCCGGACCCGTCCACCTCCTCCCCTCGGCTGTCCGCGAGGGGCGCTCGCATCCCGGGATAGACTTATAGCGAGTTCGTTTCACACGCACCGGCACCGTTCGAGTTCTCTCCCAGAATGCATCGCACTCACAGAGTGTTGCACGGAAAACTGGACTCAAACGAACTCGCCAAATGCACCGAGTGCAGAAGACTGATGCTGCCGCCATCTATGTTGTAGAAAGAGTACCGACTTCAAACCGAAACTAGCGCCTTTCTGTTCGGAGTGATGCGTGGGAATGCGAGAATGCCAGTCGGCTACCAACGTTTATCTACAAACGTTGGTCGCTGCAACCTATAGTTTATAGTTGCGATGACTTCAAGCAGCTAGGCTGCCGTAGAGATAATTACAGACGGCGTAAATTTCCGCAACCAGCTGTCTACAAAGCAGCTGGTTGCGATCTTTCAATTCTTATAACCGTTTACACTGAAGAAAACTGATGATGCTGTCCGAGCAGAAGCTTGATCCGTTTGAGCATGGTATTATGCGTGAACCACTGAAAGGGTACGGCTTAAAACTAGCTTGTTGGAATATCCAGCAAAACTGGGACTTTCGATTTGGATCGTCATTATAGGTGGATTAGATATTAGCTTTCGTGAGGGCGTCGAGAACGAGAGCTTTCTCGAACAAAATACGACGGGGCAAGTTAGCTGACGTAGGTAAATGTTAAACATGATGATGTTGCCCAATCTTCGGGTAAAGTCTCCATCTTTAGCTTTCTCTGATGCTTATTGGGCAGTCAGAGGTTTCTGCTGGGGGAGTTTTGTCGACAAATGTTAAATTTTTCACCCGCACACGGATGGTGATAAATATCTCGCGGGCCGCTGATGCGTTTGCTCCGAGCACTTCTTTACACACTGGTATATTTCAGCGTTTGTACGGCAACAGAGCGATTTAAAACATGCAAATAAATCACAGTTGTCAATTGCTTCCTTCGTGAAATAGCAGACGCTCATAATTCAAGCTCGCGTTTGATTTCGTTGCCCGCGGGACGCGATTTCTATCAGAAAATCTACTTTTTTTTTTTTCGTTCGGTTCCGCGACACATCGTAGCAGACGAACCCTCGTCGTCTGCTCCCGCTCCTCGCCGGCCCCACCGGAGCGAGGCATGACGGGATTGCATTTTGGCGCACTCCCGATTTTCTCGGTGCAGCGAGTGCATGCACGCGTGGGGTGTCAGCGCTGAAACGAACTCAGAGAGTGCAACCACTCGTGGAGTGCCGGCCGAAACGAACCCGTTCCACGCTGCGAGTGGGCACGCGTGGGTACGAGTGCCGTGAAACGAACTCGCTATTAGGGAGGCTCACTGATCTCTATTAGCATCCTCGAACATCCGCACCGGTGCGCACCGGGGCACTGAGGTGCGCCCCTTCATCTTCGATCAAGTGCACCGGTGCGCACCGTACGTCCTCGATCAACGAAGCGCACCCTCCCGGTGCGGCTTTTCGTTGCCCCAACGCGCACCAAGAAAATCGGTGGTGCGCCGGGGGGCAGTCCCATCAGGCATTGCGGCCAGGAGCGGGAATCGAGAAGATGGCGGGAGTAGCAGACGCGCAGACTATCGAGATGGCGATCTTGCAAAAACGAACACGCCTCGCAGCTGCACTAGATGATTTCCTCGGGTCTTCTGACGGCGAGACGACGAGCTTCTCACCATCGCCGCGATTACTGGCGATTGCTGCGGTGGCAAGGAGCGCCTGAAAAGCACGAACTTCGTGGAAAGCGGCGCGAGGCGTTTCGATGACGGCGAGGTACGGCTATTATTTGGCGTTTCGTTTTCTTGAACTAATAATGATGACCAACATATACATGTGGAATTGTCACCCACTTCGTGACCCCATCGACAATCACGTCCACGATGTTTATTTCTGTGGGACCGTCAAATCCGCGAGTAAAAAAATAGAAGAAATTGACAGCAGACGGGCACCGTGCGCTGCCCTACGCAAAATAAACGAACAAAACGCAAAGTGACGCAAGGTGGAGCTCGCCGCGGTGCACCGGCGCGGCGCAGTTTGTCCTCGATGTTGCACCGACATCGCGCTGCACGACCGAGGAGCGCTGTGCACTGTGCTGGTTTCAGGGCGATTCCGGTGCGAGTTGATCGAAGATGCTATATGTCTATTTGCTGGATCGCGTTTGACCAGCTCCTCCTATGGACCGGAATGCGGTCACTGGCGGCCATCTTTAGGTAGAGTTATATCATCTCTAGCCATCATAGTAATATGGCGGACAGCGCAATGGCGGCAGGCTGCCATAAAAATAGCCGTAGATCTAGTACACTGTACCGTGGGTGACATTTCGTGCTTGATTGAAGTTGTTCGACGAAGCAGATTCTTGAAACCCGGCGTGAACGGTAGCCTCATCTTTGAGGACCCGGCAAAAGTTCTACGAAAGCGCAGCACCGGGGGAAAGCAGCGCAGCTCGCATCAAAAGCAGACTCCGTACCGTCGTCTGCTTTCGATGCTTCTTTCGATGCGACTTTCGATACGTGCTGTGCTGCTTTTCTCCCGGTGCAGCGATTTCGTGAAACTTTTACTAGGTCCTCAAAAACCGGACTACTGTTCACGCCGGGTTTCAAAAACATGTTTCGTCAAATAATTTTAATCAAGCACGCAATATCATCCACGCTATTTTGACCGCAGCCTGCCAACCCACCTGCCAAAACGCTATCTGCCATGGATGAATGATAGCGGCTGCAGCAGCTTACATTGGCTAGAGGTGATATAACTCTACCTAAAGATGGCCGCCAGTGACCGCATTCGCGGAGCGGGCAAACGCGATCCAGCAATTGTCATAGAGATCAGTGGGGAGGCTCTAGTGAGGGTGGGCGCAACCACTGATCTCTATGACAATTGCTGGATCGCGCTGCATTTAATTGCATTATAATTCCCCGCTTGTTCGCTGCAGCGCAAGTGAAGCCACCGGACTTCACTCGCTTGGGATACGATTTGCCGTTTTTGCTAGCCTTTGCTGCGGTTTTCCAGCGTGCTGTAGACACGTTTTCTACTCGTTCGTCGTCATCCGCCGAAGAAGTTTTTTGAAGACTCTGTGTATTGTTGAGACTTGCCGTTGTGAACCCGTGGAAAATTTTACGAAAGTGCAATGTCGCAGGAAAAAGGCACACCGCGTCGAAAGGAAGGGCTGGCGGCGTGTTCAAAGCTTCCTTGACACGCCGAAGTGCCGTGTCTCTGTGCCTTCGCACGCTTGGATACCGACCAAGAACCGACGCCGTGTGTATGTGTTTAGCGAGTGCAATGTGCATGAAGCTGTTCGTGCCTCTGGATCAGCGTCTTTTTCCTTCGTGGTGTAGGAACGAGCTTAATCCAGCGTCCACTAGCGACGGAAGATGGGGGGAAGGTACGTCTTTTTTTCGTCCTTAGACGATTTACACAATACCGTGCACAACAGCTCCTCATCACTGATCAGTGCTGGCTTATTATCAACCTACTTAATTGCACTTGACGTTTGAGAGCGGCTCGCCTAATTGTAATTGGTCAACAGATTGCACACGACCATATCGGCAGCGCTTCAAAGATTTTCATTCTCGCCGTCTTGTACTTTTGCTTTCGAAACCCCCCCTGGCTCCACAACGTTGCCCTATTCGTGCTCCCACGGAATCTATTAGAGTAGATTTGGTACATAGCCATGGTTAATATGCTACATAAGAACACGTACAGATCTCCCCCTTTTATTGATAGCAACTCACCGGAACAGGTGGACGATCCAGAACTCCGTGGCCGATATGTATAAATGATCTAAAGGCATCTACGCGCGACACACGTTCAGAACTTTGGCGCGGCGTCAATTCTTGACCGGTATCCAAGCGTGCGAAGGCACAAAGATGCATCACTCGGCGTGCCAAGGAAGCTTTGATCACGCCGCGACACCGGCGACACGTTTTCGACGAGTTGTACCTTTTGATACGGCTTCACGCACATTGCACTCGCTAAACACATTCACACGGCGTCGGTTCTTGGTCGGTATCCAAGCGCGCGAAGGCACAGAGACACGGCACTTCGGCGTGCCAAGGAAGCTTTGAACACGCCGCCAGCCGTTCCTTTCGACGCGTTTTGCCTTTTTCCTGCGACACTGCACTTTCGTAAAATTTTCCACGTGTTCACAACGGCAAGTCTCAACAATACACAGAGTCTCAAAAAACTTCCTCGGCGAATGACGACGAACGAGTAGAAAACGTGTCTACAGCACGCTGGAAAACCGCAGCAAAAGGCTAGCAAAACGGGAAATCGTATCCCAGCGGGGTTGCGTCCGGTGGCTTCACTTGCGGGAGCGGCAAGCGCGATCCAGCAATCGTCATTGAGATCAGTGGGCGCAACTCAAAACCTGGAGAGCGTTTGTAATTTAATGGCGGCGCCTGAGGGAGAGGATTTGAGAAAGGATAGGCGCCAGTGTTGCCTGCACGAGAGCAGGCGCCCGCTCTGTTGCAACTCTGTTGCTCCATGCGCCTTTCCTCCTCTCGCCTCCCATTGCAAGCAACGAGCGCCTTGGCGCAGCCTCTCTCGCTTCCCTCTCGCTCCGAAAATTGCAAACGTCGAGCGGAGAAAGCAAGGTTGCCAGACAAGCAGCAACGTCTAAGATGGCGGAATTTACCATTTCTCGCGTTAAAAAAAATACTTAACCTACCGCAACAAAACTGGTGGCTATGGATAAGTAATCATTTATACCTTGTGTAAATTATTCAAGCACCTTAATGGGCTTTTATGACCTGAGTTAGGAAAGAAAACGACCCTTTGCCCCATAGACTCCCAGCAAAATTTAGCAATTAAATGGCGTCCATGTCCCGTGATCGCCGATCTAGCAGTTGCACCCACCCTCACTTGAGCCTCCCTAGATAGACTCGGCGCAGTCAGCGGCGGTATTCCATGGCGGCGGCGCATCTCCAGAAGACTTCTGCTCGAGTTTGGTTCTAGTGCACTTTCGCCAACGTTCGCCACAGCCCTTATCTACAAAAAAACGGTATGTGGTATTTTCAGCAAGTGTAATATGTATTTGTTGCTTCACTTTGTTGTATGAACGCGCGGCAACAATTGAGGCAGTGCATGTAAACAAACAACGTCGTTTGTACCACGTGTTTACATCGCAATTTTGATGCGCGTCTATTATGTCTTGCGAGACCTTTCCACGTACCTATGAGCACATTTCGGTAAGAAATCAAGGAAGTTAATTAAAGGTTTTCTCCTTTCTGTCCGTGCAGCGGCACATGAAGACAAGTCTCCGTGGTTGGACAGCTCAACCTTGCCGGGACGACCCGCGGGAAGGCCAATGGCTTACTGTTGCGTACCTGGCTGTAAGTCTTCAAGCAGAAAGAAGGAAGCAGGGATTTCATTTCACGAAGTTCCGAGCGACGAAGAGTTGCGGCAGAAGTGGGTAAAAGTCATCTCACGAGACAATTGGACTCCAAATACCACCTCTTGCTACTCAACTGTGTGCAGTCGTCATTTCACTGCTTCTGATTTTAAAGAAGGATGCAAAACGCGAAGACTCGTGAAAGGTGTTGTACCTAGCATATTCGAAGAATATCCTTGCTACTTGCAGCCTTCGACAAAAGTCCCGAGAAGTGACGCGGCCATTAGAAAAAGAGCCAGTGTGTTAGAATGTCCAATGGCAAAGAAAAGGCGAGCAGTCCGTTGTTGCCGGTCCGACTCCTCTCCGTGGAATTATGATGACATTCCCACCAACAACGGGCGCGATGGGTCGCTGCTGTCAGGCAGCAGCACTTGTGAAGACGGCGTCCCTGCTACGAGCCAACAAAGCGATCAAGCTGTACAAGTATCAGTACCTACATTTGTCCCGGCTGTCGAGCGGATGAAGTGGCGACGCAAAGAGCGCGACCTTAAAGCACTGATTCGCCGTCTGAGACAGACTGTAGACAAATACAAGCAAGAACTTGAAAAGCTCAAAGAAGACTGCTATGTTTCCGCCTTTCTCAATATCCGCGAAAAGGCCAATGAAAAAGACTTACAAGCATCGATCCTGTTGGAGCAAATCCAAAATTTTCAGAAGAAAAAGCCTACATGGACGGAAATGACAGTACGTCACGCAGTTATACTGCGAAATCTCTCAACGCGAGCGTACGAGCATATGAGGACCGAAGGCATACTTCGCCTCCCATGTCGAAGCACGTTAGAACGTTTCATGGGCTCTTCACGCGGAGAAGTAGGTGTGACCGACCTAGTCAAGCAGAGGCTGCGTGCAGAACTGTCTTCCTACACTTCTTCCCAGAGTAGAACGAGTTCACTCATCATTGATGAAATGAGAGTGAAGCAGCGGCTTCTCTACGTAAAACAGAGGGATGCGTTCATCGGCGAAGTAGACTATGGACAAGGCGTTCCTGTGGAAACAACAGATGAGCCAGTGCTGGCAAACTCACTTTTGTGCTTCATCCTGAGTGGCCTGTCAACAAGCTTTAGGATACCAGTGGCTTATTTTTTCACGAAAAATTGCAAAGGCCGGGAGCTACACTTACTCATGCGCCAAGTACTCAAGGAAGTTGAAGCTGTCGGCTTCGTTGTGGTAAGAGTTGTCACTGACAATCACCGGATAAATGTCATGGCATTTCAACTTCTGTGTAACGGAACTTTGACGCACGTTCTGCCACACCCTGAAAATCCAGACCGCAAGCTTTTTTTGGCGTTTGACCAATGCCACCTGATAAAAAACGTGCGGTCACAGTTTTTGGCTCGTCACCTCGGGAAAGACGGAGGTATTACAGCAGAGCACGTGAAAAACCTCTACAGAATGCAACAAGACAGCATTGTGAAGCCAGTGAGGTTCTTGACCAGGAAGCACGTATTTCCCAGTAACCTGGAGAAAATGAATGTCAGAAGAGCAGTGCAACTGCTGTCGCCTGCCGTGACTGCAGCCCTCAAGCTCTTCAAGCAGCAGGCGGGGCACACCTGCGATGCAAGTTTTTTGGATGTTGATGAAACTGTTCAGTTCATGGACACTGTCCATCGGTGGTTTCTGTTGATGGATGTGAGCAACTGCTCACAACACATACATCAGAACAACCCAGACTGCAGGCAGTTTGACTCTGAGAGCGATGAGCGTCTGGAGTGGTTAGAAACAACCTTCATAGACTATCTTTCTACCATGAAACGCCAATGCCTCGCAAAGAACTTTTTGACCAAGGAGACATACCAAGGGCTGGTCATGACTACGCATTCTAATGTCGAGTGCGTTAAGTATCTGCTGACAGAGAGTAATTTCCTCTTTGTGCTAACTAGGAAAATGTCTTCTGACCCCATTGAGTCATTCTTCGGGTGGCTCAGAAGGTCAGCAGGGAGCAATGACCAAACAGATGCCAGAGCTGTTCTGTCTGGAATCGAGAAAATGTTGAAGACGGGTATTGCTTCCAAGTCGGACTGCAGTAACGTCGTCTCTGTTGATAACAGCAGTTCTTTGTCAACGATGCTACGAGATCAGACAACCATGGCTGAGCAGGCTGCAGGACATTTCCCCAGGGAAGCGTTAACAACGCTATCAGAGAACCTGAACGAGGACAAGGCACTACTACCGACTCCAGATATAGCTGCTCTAGCTATGGTCGGTGGCTACCTGGCAAGAGCTATAGGGGAGAGGACCTCCTGCGAAGGGTGTTTGAGCCTCCTGACGAAGCCGAGCTCTTCAGCGCCGTCAGATGCACTGATTAAACATCAAGACAGGGGCGGGCTCCTCTACCCATCTGGAGAGCTGCTACACGTTCTGTACAGCTTGAGAAGGTACATTGAGGTTGTACTGGCCAAAAAAAGAAACCTGAAGCGCCCGCTCAAAGAGGCCGTGGACAACGCTGCTAAAGTACTTCGAGAGCGCAATCTTCTCGTGTGCACAGTGCCGGGGCACCATGAAAAGCTCGTGGATGTACTGCTCACAAAGTTCTTCCGTCCCATTTTTACAAATTTCGCCATGAAAGTGACGGACAAGCATGACTTCGTGAGGATCTTTGAAGTGAAGCCACTTTCGCGAAAAGTACTAAAATTGTGATTACTGGTTGTGAACAGCGTCAACGATTGGACTAAAGGCCCGTTCACACTCTTGCGACCGACTTCGACCGAGAGAGACCAGACCGGTTTTTAAGCCTTTTGCGACTTCTTAGGACCGGATGCGAAGCAGCGGAGCTGGTCCTAAGAAGTCGCAAGAGGCTTAGAAACCGGTCTGGTCTCTCTCGGTCTAACTCGGTCGCAAGAGTCTGAACGGGCCTTAAAGCTCGTCTGGTTGAAAGTAGATTCATGAAACTCTCGATCGGCACCCTCTTATTCGTTTCCGCAGGTCGCGAATGAATTCAAACGCAATAAACAAGTTTATTTGCCATGGCCTAATGGTATGGTTTTCTGTTCAATGTACATTCTCTCTTCCATACTTATTTTTTAGTGTCGCACTTTCGTTTACTTAAGCTCGGCGCGTTTATATACGCACAACGAAGAGCCCGTCAGTGCCATCTGCAGCACGGGTGCCAGTCCCTGCCTGGATGGATGGATGGATGAATACGGCTGAGCCCTTTGGATCGGGCGGTAGCTTACGCCACCTAGCCATTTTGTTTTACCATTTAAGCTTAGAATATTTAAATGTGAACTCTATATTCACTCCGCAGTGCAAAGAAAGTGAGGCTATGAAACCCCCTTGCCATCAGTGGATAAGAAAATACCTAGTTTTCTCTCGATTTCTGCCACCATTCACTGTTCTGGGAAGGCAGCGCCGCCTGGTGTCGACTGCGGGAACTGGGCGCGACGGTCGGCTCCCTTTGATCTCGGCGCCAACGCGCAGGCACAGAGTATATAAGAGGCTATGGTACTGCATGTGTACCTTTCTGGTTAATGATATCCGATTTAGTTAGTGTTTGTTTCCGAACAATAAAGTTGCGTTGGACACCCCGGTGTTGTGTTTTTTTTTTCCATCAAATAACGTCACGTTCGCAAAACTGGCTGCCGAGAACGGAAAACCGACATTGTGACGTTTTTCTTCGCCACCGGTGCCGGTACGCGGTCGAAGTTGTGACGAGCAACATTATCTCGCTCTCGCACCTTACAGGTACAGACATACGCAGCTCTAGAGAAGGAGACGAATCATAATTCATTGCCTGAATATATTTATTGTGCGTTAAGCTACATTTTACCTATCACCGTTAAACCTCGCAGAAACCGAGACCGTGCATTGGTTAGGCCTAGTCAACCACACCGATCAGCTCTGCTGGACCTGGGCGCATGCCACGGTTTCGAATGACAGTACAGTACAAATACGTTGAAATAAACAAGGCGAAATCTGTTTATATGCAGTAACAATACCTAGAAGAAAAAAAAAAAAAAAAAAAAAAAAAAAAAAAACTGACCGCATTCGCGAGGTTTACGACAAGGTTCATGCCGCCGTCTACAACCAGCGACGAATTTGACGAACCTCCGAATCTGCCGAATATTCGTCGCGGGAAGTTCGGAAATTTCCGAATCTTCTCCGGTGATTCGTCCCATCACTAATTCTGACATCTCGTTGGTCTCGCTCGTCTGGCGCTGACGTTTTCTGGCACGGAAAGCAGAGTAGTGCAGTCAAGGAGGGTAGAAGCGTAGGAGAGGGCATGACGTCGGCTGCGTAGCCTCCAACAGCCATGGCCATGCTCCCTTGACGCCTCGCCTCGTTCTCATTTTTCTCCTTACTTTCCTCACTTATCAGGCCAACGTGACCACGTCACATGACCGTAGCTAGCCTTCGTCTCACTATGGTGTACTAGAATACACCACAGCCTAGCCTTCGATCTGATAAAAGCTACCGGGCGGAGCGCGTGCATTGCACGCGCTCCGTCCGGTAGCTTGCACAGTGTGCAAGGCTTGCACACTGTGCAAGCCTGCAAGGTATCCTCCTACAATCAACCATCCATCTCGCACGCGACATGTCACGCGCACCAATCGCCAGAAAGATCTGCGGTCACGCTGGGCACAAAATCGTTTAAACCTTTTATGACTAGGCTTCACCAATATTGCAACGTCCGTTGCAACCTAAGAACGGGTCCATATCACAAGAGCGAATGACATTTTAGCGAACGGCGACATTTGAGCGAATGGTCGTTTTAGCGAATAACGGGGGCGCGCGTTAACCCATCCGTCGCGCTGCGCTTTACGCCGCTTCGCGGCGACAGTCTACGGCAACTCATTACAAAAATAGGAACTCACTTGGCCCACCCGAAAACGCCGCTTCGCGGCGTCCGACTATTCGCTAAAGTGTCGTTCGATGAAACGTGGGCGTTCGCTAAAACGTCATTCGATCAAGTGAGTGCCTCCCCCTAAGAACGAAGGGCGAGGATAAGACGGGCCGGGGAGGACGAAGCAGACGGAACTCTGGAGAAGGGAGGGAGGAAACCTCCTTCTCTCTTTAGGGTTCCGTCTGCTTCCTCCTCCCCGGCCCGTCTTTCCCTCGCCCTTCGTTCTTAGGTTGCAATGAAGGAGTATTCACTGGCGGCCATAGCTGTGTGCGCGAATGCTGAGCACGTGCTGATGGCGAGTGGTATTGGTAAAAACTTTAATTCAGTATGTTCAGTGATGACGCCCCCCGGGTCAGGTCCCCAAGTCCAAGGCCCCGCAGGCCACCGCTACCCGTCTAGCCCGTTCGAGCAGCGCTCGCTGCCGCTCGGGGCGTGAGCTGAGTAGAGCGGCCTCCCAGGAGGTTGTAGTGGGGTTAGGAACGGGCATGACCCCTACCCCGACAGGGGAAGGACATGCCCAAGTGCAGTGGTAGAGGGAGGGTTCAGGGGATTGACAGCCCGGGCATACACTCCGGTACCTGATGGCGAGCTTCCAGTTCTTTTGAAACGTGCATTCCGCAACATCAAGAGTGCCAGTCTTAGCAGCCTGTTGACGTGGGCTCGTTCTGAGCATGCGCTCTAAACAGCACCCACAAATATGGCGTCCAGTGAATACTCCCTATAGAACTTTTAACCTCCTTGAGTGCAATCCTTTGATCCGCGTGTTTTGTAAACAACATGGCCGACAGAGCAGCTCGGCGCGAGTCACGTGGTACTAATGGTGCTTGGAGCGCGTCTCCGACTGGTGTGTTTAGCGTCCTATCCCGCCCATACATCAAAAGTGGTCCCAAAGTGGCAAGTTGGCAACAAATGACGTCACAGAAGCCGGAGTGTCATGCTGTAAAGTCCCTGTATCTGGGAAAAGTGGCGCATTCTCTTTCCTTCTCCTCTAAAAACACTCCTTACCCACCTCTAACTTTTGATAACTTTTGTAAGCTACCTAGCCTTTTTGTTTTACCATTCAAGCTTAGAATATTTAAATGTGAAAACTATATTCACTCAGCACTGCAAAGAAAGTGAGGCTATAAAACCCCCTTGCCAACAGTTAGTAAGAAAAAACCTAGTTTTCTCTCGCTTTCTGCCACCATTCACTGGTAATCTCTACTGTCTTAAAATCCACTCTTCCTTCGCTGTCTCTAAAACCCAATGACTTTATTAAATCTATGTTGTCTTCGTAGGCATAGGTGAGGTGGTATTGGCTCAGCCGTCTCGTCGTCCTCTCCACGTGCAGAGCACACTGTATCCATTTCCTGGTACTTCGTTCTGCATGTTCTGGATCGAAGACACCCGTCCTCGCCTCAAGCAACAATGAGCTTCCCCTAGAATTGTCGCTGGTTTTTTTTGGCAATAACTGTTTTGTTTAACCTACAGCTTTCCGGAGCCGTCTTTGTCTGCATTCCCTATAGCCACTGATCTCTAGACCTGCTCTTCCGTAACTCCACTGTAGCTTAAAAACTTTCCTCTTAATTTCCTAGTGCGCTGTCTCCACTTTGTGTCTATACTCCTCATGTATAAATTATAAAATTACAAACTATATAAACCTCCGGTTTGCGACGGAGGCGCCCTCTGGAATTTTCCAAGCGTCCCGTCGTTTCGGTCAGCTGAAGCGGTCGAAATGCCGATCGTGTGGACTTTTCTCGTCAGATAAGTGTGGCAATGACCTCAATTAGAGCCCGCATTCGTATCGGACCGTCCTGAAGCCGCTCTAGATCTGTTCGTCCAACCGCAGATTCCCCCCCCCCCCCCCCCCCCCCCCCAAAAAAAAAAAAATGCTTTGGATAGTCGTCCCTACCGAGTTGCATTAGGCCAGTGTCTCATCAGTGTTCGGCTTCACAGCTAGAGCGGGCCAGTTGCCGATCGTGTGGACTTTTCTTGTAATACAAGTGCGGCAATAACCTCATTTAGAGCCTGCATTCGTATCCGACCGTCCTGAAGCAGCTCTAGATCTGTTCGTCCAACCGTGGATCCCGAAAGTGCTTTGGATAATCGTCCCTACCGAGTTGCATTAGGTCAATGTCTCGTGAGTGTTCGGCTTCACAGCTGGAGCGGGTGAGTTGCCCGTCGTGTGGACTTTTCTTGTAATACAAGTGTGGCAGTGACCTCATTTAGAGCCCGCATCCGCATCCGACCGTCCTGAAGCCGCTCTAGATCTGTTCGTCCAACCGTGCATCCCGAAAGTACTTTGGATAATCGTCCCTACCGTGTTGCATTTCATTTCGTCTGGTGCACTACGGTACGCGTACAGCGCTGGCGATTACTTTAGTTTATACAAATATTTTGAACAATATGATTGGACTGATGTCTTACAATGCTCTGACGTAGATTCGATGGTGGATAGTTTCACAGCGGTAGTCAATGATGCCATGAACTTGTTTGTTCCCCAGCGCACCAACCGCCCAGAGAAGTACCCGAAGTGGTTTTCCAAAGATTTGCGATATTACTTGAGATTAAAATTACGTTACCACAGGTTATATAAAAAAACGAGGCTCGGCTTGTGGTATGAAAAATTTAGCATCTGTCGTGAATTAACAAAAAAGCTTCTTGCTAACGACCAATATCAATAACCGCAGGCAGATGGAGCGTAACCTGAACAAGCGACCAGAAGAATTCTGGCACTATGTGAAAAAGCATACCACGAAGAACTTTAACGATATAACGCTGAGCAACGGGTCAGTTATTGAAACGTCCCCAAAATCCAGTCTTGGGTAGTAACGCGTTACTAGTAACGCGTTACTGTAACTTCGTTACTTTTTTGGTAACTTGTAACTGTAACGAGTTACTTTTTAAAAATGTAACTTGTAACTGTAGTTCTATTACTTTTTTCTGAGGTAACGATGAAAGTAACGACGTTACTTTTGTCGTTACTTTGCAGTGTTTTACGAATAATATATAACTGAACGAGGGTGCAACTTAGCCATTCCCTGTTGCACTTTCCAAATCGTCTATCCCGACATTTCGAGTGTCAAGTTGGCCTTGCACAAAGTTGTGAATACGTTCTTTCTCGCGAGTCACGACCCGAATATAGC